AAAGGCCATGTGTGTCCCTGCCTTTTTTTTTTTTTTTTTTTTTAACAAATTTTTTCTCACTCTTTTTGTTTTAAATAATTACTATCAATCCATTGTTGTAGGAAATTTTATTTGTCTCAATTGTGATCTTTATTTTATAAGCTTTCACTTGAGTTTATATTGAAGTTTTAAAAAAATATTAAAAACAATTTGCAATTTTAACTGTTATTATGATATAAGGCTATTGTTAGTAAATTACTATACTGTATAAAATCACTTCTGTTTGTTAATAAAATTACTTTTAAATAAATACACAAGTGGGCGACCTTTATGCTAAAATACAAACTAAGGTAAACAACGTTAAAGAGCACAAAAATATTATTAAAAGCAGACAGCTGTTTCGGATGCTCAAAGGGCAACCTTCATCAGTGCTACAGAAAGAAATGAGAGAAAATAGGGTAAATATTCGTCGTCATCCTTTCACCCTTCCCTCCTATTGGCCGTTGCTCTAACCCCCTTGTGACGTCACCTTTCTCTATATATTTACCCTATTTTCTCTCATTTCTTTCTGTTGCACTGATGAAGGTTGCCCTTTGAGCATCCGAAACAGCTGTCTGCTTTTAATAATATTTTTGTGCTCTTAAAATTACTTTTAATTTATTTCTGAATTCATATTTTAAATTTTTTTTCATTTGCAGTTGATTATTTTTCGAATCCAAATTTTTGTTCTTTTCGTTATGTTTAACATCTCAATAGAATGTTCTTACAATCATATACTTTTAACAAAATGATCTTTTTTTTTTTTTTTAAATAATTGATTTTTCAGATATAAACAATCTTGGTGGTTGGTGAGCGGAGCCTCCTAGTTTAAATACTTCTTCCGTAGTAATCAGTTTAAGACTTAATTAATTTTTAAGAACTTTTAATTTTTAAATTAGTTAAAAAAAACATATGTTTCTATTTTTTTTTTTTTTATTGCAAAAACTTTCAACTTTTTATTTCTGTGATGTGTTGCACCTATCTAAATAAAAGCTAAATTTTCCTTTCCATTCCGAATTATAAATTTATAAATAAAATTAGCACAGTGATACAATTTGGTCATTGCGTCAATTTCAAATGGAAAATATTGCCGTCAGTTTAAATAAGAATTTTAAAATTTTCTGTGTGTTTTTTATTTTTATATTGTACAATAGTTAGCATAAAATTTGTATTGTTTCGTTAAATCTCAGGAGTCTATATATGTATGTAAGTTAAGAATCCGTGGTTAAATGTAATAAATTTTATCAATTTCAGACATGCATAATTTTGATATTAAGCACATTTTTCTTCAATAATAAGTTTTATTTATGTTAAAAGAGTTCTTTTTTTTATTGAAAAACGTGAATCTTGAAACTATCGAAGTATATTGAAAAACCATTTGAATAAGTTAAGCCCCCGGGCCGCTGTAGGAAAATTATTTCCATTTCATTTATTGTGGTGTATTTCTCTCGGGTTTGTGCGACTTTTATTGGACGAGAGGTTAACCTGGAGTTAAGGTGCGCCACCTAAAACAGCGCCAATACCACGTATGTAATTGTATTTTATTTTGAAGGTATGTTTAAATACAATTATATTAAAATTATTAAAGCAAAACAACTTAAAATATAAGCAATTAACGCCCCTCCCCTCAGTGGGTCGCGGTAAAATTATTAAACTTGCCTGGTTCGCGGCTATATAAAGGTTGGGGGGCATGGGGTTATAGTACGACATTGTACAGGTGCCCGTCTAGGTTTTCCTGAGAGGTACCTATTTTGTGAAAATTTAGACTTAATTTGTGAAAATTAAAAAATTATATTAAAAAATATGGATGTATCGTTTCGTGCAGGATACAAAAATAAAATTTTAAGAAAAAGTATTTTGTGAAACTATCGTTTTTCCTAAAGTTGAATTTGTGAAGGTACCGCTAAACGGTAGTAAATTTGGCCTATACAGACCCCTGTTGTAGTAATATTATTGTTTTAGAATGCAGTTGTAGTCATTTAATACTTTCGTCTCTTATTGAATTTTGTCCCATTAAAATGTTTCTCAGAACAACAGTGATCCAATTACGTAACTTTTTTTCAGTTTATTTTTTAAAATTTTTCAACAAAATTTTGTAATTTGTTTCTTTAGCAAACAGAACTAACCGCAATAGAGATTTTATAAACTGCACGTTGCCAAACTTTAATTTGTTCAGTTCAATTTATTCTTTTACTTCATCTCTAATGAATTTAAAAGGGCTCTTCCGAAAAATGCGAAATTTCCGCCTTTGCCACTTCTGGTGAAAAGAAACGAAAACAACTGACTTCTTTTAAGAAAACGAAAAGAAAGAAAGGAAATTTTTTTAACTCTATCTCACACTTAATGTGTATATAGTCACTTCCTCTTTTCGTCATCGGTCTATGATAGGATGGACTTTCCGTACTCAGAAAAATTGTGACATTGGAATGTTATCAGTCAACACTTGATCCATATTTTAATCACGCGCCTTCATTATTCCGCAAATCGTTACTTAAGATTTTCTACT